GGCATGGCTATGAATCTCCCTAGCATTAGGTTGTATGGATTATCAAGCCTGTTCCATTATATCCAGGACTAGATTGGGGACAATTTTTACCCCTTGCAAGGTACCCTCCCAATGCTGTGGATATGCAGCCTGGTTTGGTTCCAGAGGGGGGCTGCATACTTGCAGGGGGTCTTTGCTGGCTGCCACTCCTATTACAAATAACAAATCCCTGCAGGCTTGGGTATGTAAACATGATGGCAGGGATTGTGGGTGATGCCAAGGACTCTTGTCAGTTTTTTACACACAGAACCTGGCAGGGATCTGTCATTTAGAGGCGGTAATCATACAGTCGCTACTTTTGCTAAATGATAGATGCCCAGGTTTGTATACAAGTGAATGATTTTGTGGTGGTAGTGCTACTGCAGCTAACTGACAGATCCCTGACCGCTCTTTGTAAACACAAAATGTCACTTTTAAAGGAGTGCATTATACTGCATCCACAACTTCATAGGCAGGTTTCAGGCATCCATAAAGCATGTTAGTTAAAGGCTTTGTGAATTTTTAAAGTTGACATTTAAGCCACATTAAAAAGACCTTCTCCATCCTATATTAAAAGCTTGCATACTTAAAAAAGGCCAGAAAATGGCAAAATTAGGCTCCCATAAATTGCAGTGGGATTCAGAGCTATTTTTTAAAATTTTACAATTTTTTCCTAGGGTTCCCTGAACCTCCTTTTGGAGTCCAAAGTAACTAGTGTTGTTTTGAAACGCCAGGATTTTTCTGCCCGTACATACTTCCCTAGGAAGCAAGTTGGGAATATTGATTTTCTTAATCCAGTTGGTGAATGTTTTTTTTTTTTTTTGGTTACATACCGTGGATTGTCAACTGCTTATACAGGTGCATTCACTGTTCTTATGTTTATATGTTCCTAACCATGCATTGTGCAGCTTTACTTGTTTTATTATTTATTTACCTTTTTTTTTACCTATGATATGCTCTGGGAATGTAAAGAAAAATCCCTTTATACCATATTATTGTTTAATACACAATCTACTGTAGGCTAGACATTTCAGCTGCCTGTATATGAAAATCGTCATCACTTCTGTACTTGAATAATATATTATATGCTCAGGGGCGGACTGACAACTCATGGGGCCCCCGGGCAATAGGGGATCATGGGGCCCCAGTGTCCTTGCCAAAACTCAAAAAAGCCTATGAAAAAGGTACCAGGAGCATCTCATGGGGCCCCCTACTGACCCCAGGCCCTTGGGCAGTGCCCGAGTTTCCAAATGGTCAGTCCGCCCCTGTATATGCTGCATTGTGATGACCTGGAACCTAATAAAATATTATTTGCTCAATACAAATGGGTGTTAAGTGAAGTGTTTGCTTTATTTTTGTGTAGTATTGCAATGTAAGCATCAGCATGTATCATTATTCACAAGCAGCCCTGGTTCTTACTAATGTCTCCCTTAAGAACACCCCCCTTTCAATCCAGCTGGCATAGGAAATATAAACAGGAGTATCATGCACCTGGTGCTCATGTGTACAAGCTCTACATTGAGCATCCCTGATTTATATTGATGCATTCCCATTTCTCCCTCTTCCAGTACAGGCATAAGAGGTTAACAGCTTGTGTTGTATGTGCTATTCAGCCCAAGGCATTTCTCCAGTCCAGTAAGAAGCACAGCAGTTGTATTAGATGAATAAAGCGTGGGTGTGTTTATCACATATGCAAATGATCTGTTTACATAAAATGATATTTAATTAAACAGTTACCATAACTCTGATTTCTTGGTGAATGTGATATTTTATTACCTATAGTGATTGTAGTATATTACTCATAATCGTTAAACAATATTTATGTGCAATTAAACATTATTTATGTGCAAATGTGTTGGAGACATTGAACATGAAAATGTAATTTCAATAAAGGTTTTTTTTTGTCCTTTGATTGATTGGCTTTACAAAAAAGACCAAAGACAGGGCCGGATTAATGTAGGGGCTATTGAAGCTGCTGCTACTTTAATATAGGAGCAGCCATCCAAAGAGAACAGGCCACACTGAAAGCAATGTGGGCCAATGAGGAGAGATCTCCCTGGACTGAAGTGGCCCTGCATTCTGTATGCATTGCCTGGGCCAGGTGGTGGGATTAATAATGGCCACTGGGTGGGCAGTCCTAACAGCAGCATGGTATTCGGCATACGTAGTGTTGTGTTAGGTCTATGTGGCTGCACCCTTCCACCTCACATCAGGGCACATCCAGCACGCTGTTGCAGAGCTCTTACAGAATCCTGGCAAATCAAATGCCGAGCTTCCATAGCATCATGCATCAGCTGCACCCTTTCATCTCACCCATCAAATTCCTTAGCACAAGGCCCATGATGCTCTCAATCCAGCCCTGACCAAAGGGTCTATATGGTAAATATAACTTTTTTTTTTTTTAATTATGTGTTTTCTAGTCTACGTACCCACTGGTGAATCAAACCCGTTCCACCCTAAGGAATGTCAGACTTTAATGGTGCCAAAACATGGGGACAATTTCTTGGAACTCTGTCTTGATGTCATTTGGACCCTTAATAGTGGCACATGGACCTAACTGTGGCTTAAATCTTTTATACGAGTCACCAGGGATTTATGGACAACAAAGTAAAAGTAATTAGGCGCATGCCCTAATGATATAGTAATAAATGAGCATTACTAATTGGAAACATCTGGATATATTTCACATTTTTTTAGGGATTCAATGTATGGGTGGTCTTTCTGGGGGACCTAATTGGTGGCCCTGCACTTGCTGTTGTTGGTTTTTTTTACTCTATCTGTGGAATTTTTGGATAATAATTTTTGTTATATCATACCCTTGTGGCTCTCCTTTACCCTTGTGGCTCTCCTAATGAAGCAGGCCTTACTTTAGCTGGGATATGTGTACCTGTTGTGAAAAGAGCATTACTTATGTTTCCTTTGTGTGAAAATGTTGTGTAAACAGATGTATGGCATATAATAACACAAATATACAAGTAAATAAGTAGATACTTACTAGTGGAATATATGTTGTAGGGGTACCCATACAATCTACATTCTTCAGGATGGTAGTTACACCCACAAAATCTTCAACACTCAACACATTTAACATTATGCCGTCCCTTTTCATTCTGGCATAAACAGATTTTTTTCTAACTGGTTAGAACAGTGGTGGGCAACCTTTTTTTTCAACTGAGCCAAATCTCGCCAAAACCACGATTGAAATTTATTTTGAGAGCCACATTTTTAAAACTGAAAATACATAGGATGGTACACTGTTTTTAGTTTCAATAAGTTTTTATAGTAATTCATCCCCCATAGTAATTCATCCCCCATATAGTAATTCATCCCCATATAGTAATTCATCCCCCATAGTAATTCATCCCCCATATAGTAATTCATCCCCCATATAGTAATTCATCCCCCATAGTAATTCATCCCCCATATAGTAATTCATCCCCCATATAGTAATTCATCCCCCATAGTAATTCATCCCCCCATATAGTAATTCATCCCCCATATAGTAATTCATCCCCCCATAGTAATTCATCCCCCCTATAGTAATTCATCCCCCCATATAGTAATTCATCCCCCATAGTAATTCATCCCCCATAGTAATTCATCCCCCCATAGTAATTCATCCCCCATATAGTAATTCATCCCCCATATAGTAATTAATCCCCCATAGTAATTCATCCCCCATATAGTAATTCATCCCCCATATAGTAATTCATCCCCCATAGTAATTCATCCCCCATATAGTAATTCATCCCCCATATAGTAATTCATCCCCCATATAGTAATTCATCCCCCATATAGTAATTCATCCCCCATATAGTAATTCATCCCCCATATAGTAATTAATCCCCCATATAGTAATTCCTCCCCCATATAGTAATTCATCCCCCATAGTAATTAATCCCCCATATAGTAATTCATCCCCCATAGTAATTAATCCCCCATATAGTAATTCATCCCCCATAGTAATTCATCCCCCATATAGTAATTCATCCCCCATATAGTAATTCATCCCCCCCCTATAGTAATTCATCCCCCATATTAATTCATCCCCCATAGTAATTCATCCCCCATATTTAATTCATCCCTCATATAGTAGTAGTAAGTAAGTAGCAAGTAGTAAGCCAAGTCCCCCCTGTGTCAATTCACTTACCTTTGCTCCGCGCGTTCCTTTTGCCGTGTTCCCGCGCCGTTCCGGTCTTCAGGGCGGACTGTGAGAGGAGCCTAGCTCCTCTCACGTTCGTCACGCTGCCCCGCCTACACACATCCTGACAGCCAATCACTGGCTATCAGGATGTGAGTGGCAGCGAGACTGGCCAATCATTGCATTTGAGCTCGCTGCCCTGGCTGTTTTTTTTTTTGGATCACCCTGCAGAGTCCCTGCCGCCCGAGAGGAGGGAGGGGAGCGGGCGCCCGGCACACAAGAGCCGCATTAAAGCGTGTAAAGAGCCGCATGTGGCTCGCGAGCCGCGGCTTGCCGACCACTGGGTTAGAACATGCACAAGTAGTTCACATGAAGTTTTTATATTTTACTTTATATCTATGGTATTCTTGGGTGAGTTGGTTTCCTTCCTCACTGGCACTGGCACAAACATCTAAACATCCCAGCCTGGTGATGATGTTGGGCTCTGAAGGCTTCAGGAAAACTGTTTAAAGGATGCCGAAAGCTTTGAAAAAGCTGGTAATGCTTTCTGTTACACTGCACTTATATTTGCACATATTTGTCTTAAGGTAAAATAAGTATAAGATGGAATTGCCACTTTTTAACGTAGTATGTAAGCTACTTCTAAGCCAGTATTTGTCTTTACTGTAAGTGGTATTTATGCCCTTGATCAAGTATGCAGCCTAGAGGTCAGGGAATGACAGCCTTTACCAAAGTCTTCTCTGAAGATGAAGGTATTTTGCTTTGGGACAGATAATAATGATTATAACTGCTTATTTTAGATTATGTGGAAAGGAAGCACAAACAATAAATCATTTTTTTTTCTAGTAAACAGGAAGCAGAAGCCTTAGAAACAGAATTACTGGAAGATTACCGTTTTGGGAAACAGCAGTTTATTGAAATACTGGGGCACAGCTGTGCAATGGCTGTTACTAAGGTATGTTGTGTCGATAGAACAAAGCAAATATATTTCTGTACTTTTTAAAATAAAGTTTTATTAATTTTTCATCCGTATAAAAACAAGGCATAGTTAAAAAAAAGTGCATAAATTAAAACATTGTAGAAAATTAGTCTTTCAAACAGTAAACATAAATCACATGAAACAAGGGGACACAAGGAGGAAAGGAAGCGTGATTGCTCTGCTGTAGGAGAGGTCAATAGTTGTGGTATGACCTGTTTTCAGCCAGTCTTCCCATGTCTGCATTAATTAGAACTTATTATAACTTGTTCTACTGTAAAATAAGATTTGGGAATAACTCCAGAAAAGCGGACAAAGTTTTTGAAATGTGGAAAGCTCACCCATTTTTTATAATGTGTCATAGTCAGCCCTTTTGAGCATGGAAGTTTCTTTCATCAAATCTTATCTACTCACAATATCTATTCTGCTTTTGGGGTGATCTGTGGTTTTTCCAATATTTGGAGCTTTTGCCCCTATTCAGGAAGTGTGGTATTAGTGATTTCTTATGTGCAGTGAAATACAGAGTTATGAGGACTCAATGGGTTTTGTGTGTGGGTCACATTTTTACTATGAGGTCAGAGGTCTGTTTCCAGTAAGGGTCAATAATTAGGCATTACATGTATGAAGTAGCAGAATTAGTTTCAGGGTGTTATTTCATATATATCCATGGCATGTGCAAGAAATATCTCATTAAAGTGACACCTTTGTGTAAAAAAAAAAAAAAGAAAGAACAGAAAAACTTGATTTATAATCATTTTCCAAAATCTTGTGACAAAAAATAAAATTTTCCATGGACTCAACATGCCTCTCAGCAAATATCTTGGGTTGTCTACTTTCCAAAAAGGGGTAATTTGGGGGTGTTTGTACTGTCCTGGTATTTTAAAGGAAAAGTTCACCTTTTGCCTAAAAATAATAAATACACATTTTTTTTTGCAGGTAAAATCAAAAAATGTGCATTTATTATTTTTGGTTGCAGGAGCCTGGAAAGCATTACACCAGCGATCATCAGGGTGTATGGGCAAGCAAATATACTGACAGGAAGATTCAATGAACTACCACAGCGCTCCACAGCTAGTACAGGGAACTTCTCCCCATACTTCTGTCACGGGGGGGATGGGGTGCAGCAGGCAGCTGCTGCAGCATTGGGAACATGTTATATGTTCCACTCTAAAAACAAGTGAAACATGTAATATGTTTCCAAAGATGAGCTCATCCTTTAAGGCTTCTAAAAACATTATGTGTATGGTCAGCATTAGAAGTTTCTGACACACACACACACGCACACGTTAGATGGTGAATATATAGGATATTGTAGATCGCAATGCCGATGTCTAGAATTTGAACAATGACCATTATATCAAAAAGCTAATATAAATCATATAAAATCTGATATATAACCCTATTAAAGTGAATGAAAAAAAAAATGAATACACCAACATAAATCAGTAATTAAAAAAGAAGTACAAACAAACCTTGTTTGGCTGTACTTCTCCTGTGGATCACATGTGTGCAGTTCATTCTGCACTCCTGTGACCCATCACAGAGCCAGTCCAGGCATGGCAAAGATCATGACCATATGGTTGAGATCCAACCAGGAGCCTGGACCAGCACCTGGCTGCGCTTCTCAGCTATGCCACTGGGAGACTGAGCTAGCGCTTTATGAATGGAGGAGGTGGACCTTTCATTCATAGTAGATCATAGTAGACCATAAACATTGTGTCAGATATTACAATAATCATGAATAAACACATTTCAATATACACCCTAATATTGTATTAACACACTACCATAAGGTTAGAATATGTATACCTACAAATCATATTAAAGTAGAACCACTGCAGAGGCAAAATGTTTCTTTCATTTTGGATAGAGTAAAGGAAGGGTTATAACCCCTGACAGAATTTTTTCGCCATCTGTGTCCCATTGCAGAGATTTCCCTTCACTTCCTGTCCCATAGCCAAACAAGAAATGAGATGAAATCCCTGTATATTAAGGGCATTCCTTGGGGAGCCCCAGGTCACCAGAAAAAGTGTGCCCTCTATTAGTTTTGTGGGGACAACCAAAAATCTGGGATTTTCTTTTACTTTCATTTTCAATTATAATGGTAAACAGGAAAAATACAGAGGGTGATTCTCTTTAATGGGGGCACAGACAGTAATAAAAACTGACAAGGGTTCTAATCCCTCTCCACGCTATCCAAAACTAAAAAAAAAACAAAAAAAAAGTTTTGCCTTTAGCTATATTTTAACCGTCCAACTCAGAACTCAGGAGTGCAGTATCAAGTGATCCAATGCTTCTGTATCACAGTAACATATAATCACTATAATTTTGAAAAAAAACATATATAAGGCATCACTGATATAATGATTATATTAAGATAATTACCTTGATTGTCTATATAGTTACATAGTCAGGTTGAACAAAACACTAGTCCATCCGTTCAACCAATAAAAATTACACATATAGAAACCCATAATTGATCCAGAGGAAGGCAAAAAAAATAAGGCATGATCCAATATGCTCCAGTAGGGGAAAAATTCCTTCCTGATCCCCCAGGAGGCAATTGGATATTGCACAAAGAATGGAAACCATCCCAACCTATAACCAGCGTTAGCAGTAAGGTGCACATGGAAGGGCAATGCGCATTTCAAACAAACAAAGGATTTCCTGGCAACACTTACCAGCCAGCCTGCAAAATAACCAATTTGGCCTTGTCTAACAGTTTGTGTTAAAAAACAGAGGGGTTTGTTTGCACACATTGCAAATACATGCGTAAGCCACAGTCTTGCGTCAACTGTCCTCTGTATACTGTGGACCTAACCCTAACATTCCCAAAGCCTCCATAGTAGGAGCACGTATATCAATGGATAGGTTAAGGTCTGGGGTGCCTGGAGGAGCCCATCCCTCCTTAAAGGAACAGGGATACATGTGACTCCCATCTATACCAAAATGACAGCAAAGGCATCTAGTGCGTCCCTGCATCCAATTTAGCCAGGTAAGGTACACATGGAAGGGCAATACACATCACAAACAAAGGATTTCCCTGCAACACTTACCAGCCAAGCTGCAAAACAACCAATTTCGCCCTGTCCAACAGTTTGTATTAAAAACAGAGGGTTTTGTTTGCACACATTTGCAAATACATGCGTAAGCTACAGTCCTGCATCAAGGGCCCTCTGTATACTGTCGACCTAACTCTAAAATTGAATATTCCCTGGATCAACTACCTCTAAAAAATTAGTATCCAGTTATATTTTTTGCATTTGGGAATGCATCTAGCTCTTTCTTAAAACAATCTGCTGAGCTGGCCAGAACTAGTTCTTGAGGGAGTCTATTTCACATTTTCACAGCTCTTACTGTGAAGAAACCTTTCCATATACAAAGGTTAAATCTCTTTTCCTGATGTGAGGAGTGCCCACTTATTCTCTGTAATGACCTGAAAGTGAATACCTCTACACCAAGTTCACTATATGGACCACCTATGTTTTTATACATGTTCATCATATCCGTTCAGCTAATTTTTCCTCGTAGCTGAGCCCTTCCATGCCACTTATCAGTTTGTTTACACTTCTCTGCACTTTTTCCAGTTCTCTGATATCCGATTTTTTGTGAATTGGTACCCAGAATTGAACTGCATTTTCCAGATGAGGTCTTAATAATAATTTGTAGAGGGACAGTATGATTTCTCTCTCTGGAGTCTATTCCTCTTTTAATTCAACAAAATATTTTGCTGACTTCAGAAACTGCAGTTTGGAATTGCATCCTATTATTAAGTCTGTAATCTACCAGTGATATATGAAACCTCCTGCGTTTAAATGGAAAACTACCGAGAAGCTGCTATCACCTGACCTGACTTCACTAGGTAAAATGTAATTATAAAAGAAATGGTGAAGCGCTAGCAATAATGTGCAAAATACAGGAAATAATAACATATAAAATAAACCATATAAAACATATAAAAACTAAAATACGTTCATCACGTGACATGTGTATATGAGTATAGTAAACACTCAGTGTGCTGATCCAATCGGATCTCATAAAGTGCTGCTAAAAGTGAAACAGGTAATACCTGCAGCCATAAAAGTGGACCCCTTTTCCTGATGGAAAAAACACACACGCCAGCCTCCCCCTGTCCACATAAGGGACTGATAATAGAAAATTACATGACCCCTCAGGGGTTAAAAACACAACACAATGTGACCAATGCCAGTAGTGAATGATACAAACAGTCCCATACACTACAATACATAAATATGCATAAACATAAATGTCCAGAAAGCACTATATGCCAACGCACAGGTGCATGTAACCAGTATAAACGTCCAAAAACACAGAATAACTGCAAGCCAATAGACTGGTGCTCGTGATAAGGTGATCTTCAGAATAGGTGACAGGAATCCTAAATAGCAGAAATGCCCCCTCACCTCCAAGCAATGACCACAAGGGCAAGCTCCCCTTATAACTCTCACCACTGTCCCAGCGAACAGGCCTTGTCCAGATAAAGATGTTGCATAGGATCCTTCTCAATTAATACTCTCAGGTCACATTCCCATCAGAGCCAAACCGTCAAAAACATAAGCAAAGAGCATCCTCCATAGTGTAGTATGTTTATTAAACTTCAAAAGATAAAGGAAAATTTCCCACTCACATGATATAGTAGTTAAAATAGCATTGCCACCACTTAATATGGGTGTACTGCATGGATCTTCATACCAAGCCCAAAATGGCGTCCAACCGGAAGTGCGTCTCCGGAACTGACGTACCGACGCGTTGCGTCATGATCACGTGACTTCCTCAGGGTATACCTTTTATTATTCTAATCTACCAGAACACCCAGATTCTTCTTCACCACTGACTCCCCCTGCTGTTCTCCTCCTAGATTGTATGATGCATGCATGTGTTTAGTCCCCAAGTGCATAACTTTGTAATTACATTTATAAGTGTAGCCAAGGGCCAAATGTCTTGTGCTCCCCACTGCTGCGGGTGGTGGGAGAGTCAGAGGAGTGATGACCATGCTGTGAACTGTCTTCCCTCTTTGTCCCTCCCACATTGCTGAGTTAACAGCCATGGTTGGGAGCCAGAGCAGCTTGTATAAAATCTTCTTCTCATGCTGGCTGTGCTGTGGCAATGTGTGAGACTTCTCCCTCTGTTCACTTTTCCCTTCCTGGCAGCAGAGCAGAGGACCAATCAGGGAAAAGGAGAGCTAGCTGAGCAATCCCAATGAATGTATTGCAGAGCACTTGGGATCATAGGAGATGTAGTCCAAAATGGCAACTCTATAATGCTGACATTGACTTCCTGAACTACAAATCCAGGTAGACTCAGAGATTCATTAGGAGCTGGAGGAGGATTTACAGTACACTGGCTGGAAAAGTTTGGACCCAGGATCCAGAGGGGTAAAGACCTCTGTCCATTTGCTCTCCTCACCATAAGGCCTGGCTGTAGAGGGGACTTGATTCTGCTACCCTATGTTTGAGACACTGGTTGAAGTGCATCGCCAGCTGCACCAGGAGCACCTGCGATCCAAACCTAGAGAGGCTGGAACCACCATTTGCAATCACCGCTGTTATCTGGATGCTTCGGGGAGAGACTGAGGTGGCTCCTTCCACCGCAGCTGTATCCCGGGGACTGGTGAGAGGGTTATTGGCCCATATATTACACTGCTAGGTATTGAGTTGCTGACAGCAGGATGCCAAGTACACCTAGCTCATACCACATTCATCCGAGACTTACACTACACCTCTACCAGCTCCATACCACCGCTATTCTGAACTGCCGCTACATCTGACGCACCTGTCCCATATTTACATTGCATCATACAAAGGCTTTACTGTCCTTATAGAAATTCTTAACTGTATGCAGGTTCATCAAGACTCTTGTTAAGTACACTAACGCTTCTTAAAGGCCCCAATGTATAGCCGGCAGAAGAACTACTTCCTGTGCTTACCAGATGGTTTTATACCTAGCATAGCCACCATTAGTACACTCTGTCAGTATAGGTCCAGTATTTTATAGTACATGTACTTTACTGCTCACACTGCTACACTTCAGGAGGCATTGTAACTGTTTAGGGTGTTCTAGACGGCAAGCGTAACCTTATACCTTGTCCTTATTGCTAAATATTCTGTATTCTGTATAAGTGTATTATTATCATTATTATTCATTTCACCTTTTATCTCTACCTGCCTTTACCAACTTTATTTTAAGACAATATATTACATTTCTTTTTTTATCAGTTGATTTGATGCTTGTGTTCTTTAAAGCCGTTTTGTGTTTATTAAAAGTCAGCAGCTACAAAAACTATAGCTGCTGACTTTTAGTAAACACACACTTACCTGTCTCAGAGTCCAGTAATGTTCGCACCCACACCATCCCTTCTCCCTTTCTTTCCTCCACAGCGTCGGCATCTCAACTGTGGGCACCAGGCTGTGACAGCTTGCGACTTCACAGCCTGGTGCCCACTACACATACGTGAGTTGAGCTGCACCTCCTAATTGGTCCAACAGTCTTTGGGACCTGTGAAAGTTCCCAGGGGACTGCGGGAGGGAGGAGGGGGCCGAACTTTCGGCTCGCTTTGCCGCTGCAAACTGGGAGTGGGCAGCTGTCAAAACCTGTGAAAACCAGGTACCTGCCCCCCCCCCCAAAAGGTGCCAAATATGGCAGTGGAGGGGGGGAGGAGACAAAAGCTTCTGCTTTTGAGTGGATCTCCACTTTAAATTTAGCATTATAGTTGGGTACTGGTGTTACTGTCAGGAATTTTTCTGTGATATGGTTTGTTTGTGGTACTGTGGTGAGTCAGAGGCTCTGAGATGTTTAGGAAGGTCGAGGCCAGAAACAGAGGAACCATCTTAACCAGCAGCTTCTCCTGGGGTAGCGCTACACCAACATTAAACCTCATTTGCCACATAGTTGCCCAATGAAGTAGTGTATTGATGTCGGCTTGTAAGTTGGAGACATACTGTAAGGACATAATTCAACTACATAGCTTGCAAACACTGAAATGGTACTTTTAATCTCAGACCCTATATCATTTATAAATATGCTAAAAAGTATTAGTCCCAACACAGAACTTTGGGGTACAACATGAATAACCTTAAACCATTCTGAATATCAATCATTAATCACTACTCTCTGGATAAGGACTTTTAGCCAGTTTTCTATCCAGTCATAAACTGAATCTAAGCCAGTAGACTTTAATTTCCACATTAGCTGTGTGTGGGGAACTGTGTCAAACACTTTGGCAAAATCCAAGTATACTATATCCACAGCCACTCCTTTATCTACGTTTTTGCTTACTTCCTCATAAAAAGAAATCAGATTTGTTTGAAAATGTTGGTCCTTCGTGAATCTATGCTGGCTATTGCCTTAAAAAAAAATTTTGCGAAAACTTCTCTGTGTTCTTTTATTATTCTCTTTAATGTCTTCCCAACTATAGAAGTTAAACTAACCCATCTGTAGTTACTTGGTAAAGACTGTGATCCCTTTATATCCCTATATATCAGGTTCTCATGTGGAAAAGAATAACGCCTATCCAATTCCCAATCAAGGCCACAGGTTAAATAGGCATGATATTTGCCCAAGGCAATTGAGGGCTGTGAGAAAATAAACACTATTTTGTATCCTATTACATCCATGTACATAAGAGTAAAATGGGGCACATTATAAGATATTTTAGAAATAAGGGACATTACTTTTTGTCAGTGCTCCAAAACCTCAGACAGCTTTCCTCAGTTATGTACAGATTACCTGCAGGTAAGGATCCTGACTGTATAATAACATATGATGCAGCGGTGGACTGACCATTTGGAAACTCGGGCACTGTCCGAGGCCTCGGGGTCAGTAGGGGGCCCCATGAGATGCCCCTGGTACCTTTTTCATAGGTTTTCTGGAGTTTGGGCAAAGACACAAGGGCCCCATGATCCCATATTGCCCGGGGGCCCCATGAGTTGTCAGTCTGCCCCTGATATGATGTATATAACAGCAAAAATGGGGGACTACTCAACATTGTCCTCAAAGCTCCTGAATATTTATCAGTACTGGGAATATGTTTCATTTTAGATGTAATACTAAATTTAATTGAAAGGATACCCCATAATCAGTTACATGTTCCCAATGATAGCACAATATTACTCAGTCTCTAATAAGTCAACCCCTTAGATTGCATTTATAGGGACTGAAATCAACGTTATCTAATAAATATAGCACATAGCACCATCTGCTATCCTCCTAAACTATCATAGAAAAACAATCCATAACATAGGATGCACCCAGATGCCCAATGTTTGGAATAGATAGCTCCTCCTTTTCTTTATCTCCTATTGCTAACATTTTGCTGACAGTGACAGGATCACCAATGCGACATGGTTTTTAGTGAGCCTATTAACTGAATGGTATCAAAAAGGTCACAAGTTCCCTCAAAAACACATTGTTGTATTCCACAGGGATAATAATTATTTTCCTTTTTTTTTGCCAGGTGTACCCACTGAAAACTCTTCCTAAGAAGCAACCAACTGTTTTGATTATCTGCGGTCCAGAGGAAAATGGTGCTATTGGCCTTGTCTGTGCTCGAAATCTTCGTACTTATGTAAGTGATTTGAGTGGATTGGTAAAATCTGTCTGATAATGTCAAAAAAATGAAGGTTCTCTATTTTCTATTCTTCTTTCATTTTGACATTTTGAGTTGAACATATTGGGACTCATGCATACAAATGGATATAGAGTTAAAAATTGGTTTGCTGCTTCAACAGCTATTCATCTGTCTGCTTTGGTTTACTCAGACAAGCTCTCCATGTTCTTTTATTGTTGCTAAGGAGGTGGCTGTTAAACCATGTTTGCTTAGGCATAATGGACCTTGTTAGGTGGATATAACACGGTCAATGTAGTGTAGCATAAGAAAGGCAGGAGCCCCTTCAAAATCTGATGGATACATTAAATCAAACTTCCAAAAAAAAGGCATTTAAGTTATTACATATTATAGCAAGAAGAGAATGTTCTCTTTAATCAGTTTATATTTACTTCCCTTCTGCTCTTCTTATCTTGTCCATCTTTCATAAAGAACAATGCATTCATTTTTTTGTCTTGCCATTTAAATTATTCATCTTTTTTACATTGTTAATGCCTATGACACATGCTGCTTATCTGGACATATGGAGCAACCATGCTTTGCATAGCATAACCAACAAACACACCTGGGGTTCTAGGGAACAGGTGCAGTCTCTCCCTTGTCTCAGCTGAGAGATGATGTATTGTGCAAGGAAAGCACTACACCAATTAATCACATTATCTTTACTAAATTATTTACCACTTTGTTACTGCAGTCTAGATAGATCTGTCACTGTTTAATCTGGTGTTCTGGTTCTTTGGGAGATAATAGCTCCTGCATTATTACCATCTACAACAGGGGTCTCCAAACTGTGGCCCTTTGCTTGCCCTTTGGGGTACTATTCCTCCCATTAACACCAACAAGGATGCAGTATTCCTTCTAATTACATCAACAGTGGGGAACCATTTCTCTTACTGACACCAACAGTGGGGAATTTTTCCTACCAATGACACCATTGATTGGTACCATTCCTCCCACGACACCAGCAATGGGGCATAATTTCTCCCACTGATATAAACAATTAGGCCCTATTGCCCCCAGTGATAATAATGATGGGGCACTATTACTCCCAGTGATACCAATGATGGGGCACTATGCCTCCCTCTGATACCAATGATGGGGCACTATTCCTCCCACTGATACCAATGATGGGGTACTATTACTCCCACTGATACCAATGATGGGGCACTATTCCTTCCACTAATACCAATGATGAGACACTATTCTTCCCACTAATATCAGTCATGGGGCACTATTCCTTCCACTGATACCAATGATGGGACACTATTCCTCCCACTAATATCAGTCATGGGGCACTACTCCTTCTCCAAGCCCGAGACATTGTTTACTCCCACTGACACTGGGGAATTTATGCCCACTGGCCACTCCGGCTCCCCTAAAGTCTGAAGAACAGTAAACTGGCCCTTTGTTTAGAAAGTTTGGAGACCCCTGATCTACCGTTTGGCAATGTGTAATGAGATTTGCAATTATCCATCAGCTTAATGGCTTAAGCTTTATCATGCCTGGTGAGCACGTTCCTGATTGCACTTTTAAAATCATTTTTATTTTTCAGATACTTTTATTAGCAACAGCCGACAGAATTGGGTACCATTTATAGAAACTGCAGCTATGGTCATGTAAAAGCCTTTTTTATGTTCAGCTGTAATGTGCAATACTGTATAGTGATGGAATGTATTATTCAAGTAGTCAATATCTGGATGGGGTCACAGATAGGAAAACGCTATCATCAAAACAAAGTGTTCCTGTATACAACTCTGTAACATGCACAGTTCTATGTAATATTTACAATAAATAGCCTTTAAAGTGTTACTAAGCCCATGACCCTGCATTCATTAAATCTGGCCTCCCACAGTACACAGAACATGGAAATGCAATTATTTTACTAAATATAAACTGCTAAATACCTTTTCTCATCAGCAGTTACAGCAGTCTTGGGACTTCTATCAGTGTTCAGCAGAGCACTGGTTAAAGCTCGTAGGAGGAGTTTTCATTCTCCCCTGATTTTCCTATGAGGCTGCAGGATCCCTGATCCTCTGTCTGAGCAGCGCTGATGGGAGGGTGCATGTAGTCAGCACAGAGCCAAAGTGAAAAAAACCTCTGTAGCAATGCACAACACCAAACTGAGCATGTGCAGCTTGCCCCCAAGACTCTGTTCTATCAGCAGATGGATTGGGGACTGTGTAAGAAGGGGAGAATCAGAGAAGACAGGTTCAAACATCCTTTTTTCACAATGCAGAGGATTAACCCCTTAGGTTCCACAATAAGTATAACAAGCATGCTTAGTAACACTTTAAAACAATAGAGCAACCAAAAATTTAGAGTGACAAATTCCTAAAAAGTGTTGTTCTTGTCATGTCCCCATTGGAAAGATCTTTCCCTGGGTGTTGATATTTGTTAGCACTTATAATAAATAATGTTTGATAACTGTGGTTGGAGGATCTGTTTCTGTGGACTTGTACTTGCTTTAAGCAGCCTTTGCATTGCCATATAAGTCTATAGGAATGCAAAAACAGCATGAAGCAGGCAAAATGCAAGTCTGTAGGAGATAAACTGTTGGTCTACAGTACCTCTTAGTGAATTTTGAATGATATCCCAAGCACCTAACCATCACAAGCAGGTGTTAGACTAATATCAGCACAAGTCCAGGTACTTAAGCTCTCTCTCTCTTTAATTTAAAAAAATAAAACTTGATCATTTTGCTTTTCACTATTTGTTTTAGCTTTGTTAGCTAATTTCTTGGCAGCACCTTTTAGCTTCTAAAACCAAGGATTGTTAAAGCACATAAACTTCTCAGGGCTCCCAGTATTTTTGTTATAGGGCATAGCTTAAATTTTCCTTTCAGGTGATCTCCACTGTGCTCCCTGTCTGGCACCACACAGCATCGCTTCAGAACTATTTCCTTCCTTTACCTTATCCCTGATCCTTTTGTGGCTTGAACCCTGTTCAGTTCCATGGAAAACCCATCTAAAACTTGGTAATAGCAATCTAATAGCAAGAAATATGCTGTTGATGATTGACTTTACTATAAGGATTCTTCCTTTTATTCACACACAGCACAGTGGAGGCAGCACAATGGGTTGGACCTATTTGGCCTTTGTCTGGTGCAAGACCACACAAGTCCTATGCTGTGGATGTATAGCTACTAATAGTAAGTCACAATTAACTGGAGTTGTACTTCAATGTGGAAGATGTTCCACTACTAATCCAACCAGCTTCCTCTTTTGTAGTGTGTGCCAACAACAAAATCTACATGGGGTTGTTTTTGTCCAATCACCATGAATTGTGTCAAGGCAGATGTTGATTGCCCAAGTACATGACCTTACGTGTAACAATTTGTAAAACCACCTTGTTCTACTTGCATAATCCAATCATTATTGGTGCTCGGTAGGGCCCCATTCCGTTACTGGTAGTGAGGTAGCAGAGATATGCTAGACAGATGGAGTGGGCGTGTCCCTCTTAAATACAACAGAGACAGTACAGTGTACATTGACATGGGGACGAGAGAGTTAACTAGAGTACAGTTTATTGTTAAGTGTACACAGTGTATGCCACTAAGTAAAGGTACCCCATGTGCAAGGCTGTGACCTTGTCCAAGGTGCCCAGCATAGCCCAGAAGAACCCATGTGACCCACACCTGGCGCCCAACAAGGAGGGGAACATGGATGGCATGTCACCCGTCTGCCCTACAAGCAGCAACAGGAAATGTTTGGTGGACATTATTGCTGCTACAAAATGTTCTTTCAATTTTAAAAAATAAGGGTTCATATACTAAACTGTGAATGTTTAAACAATGTGTTGTGTTCATTTTTTTTTTTTTTTTTTATTGATTTAAACATATTATTTTTTTCTATTATTGGGCTAAGGATTAGACCACATTTTAAGTTTAATATGATATTATGGCCACTAGACATATTTCCTATGATACTCACCACCATTTGGTAGTCATAATGATGTATTTTTCGCAATAATACTGTTTTTGAAAAAATAACAGTAGATCTGTAGAGAATTTAGCCTGAAAACATTTAAATTTGCCCCAATGCCACAGAACTAATTTACGTGGACAGTTACTATGGACAAATGCAATTTTTTTTTATTATTACACTCCTAGTATTTTAGAAGGTTAAAGTTACTTTAGGAAAGCAAAAATCTGTGCATGGCAGGGGCGGGCTGACCATTCGAGCACTCGGGCACTGCCCGAGGGCCCGGGGTCAGTAGGGGGCCCCATGAAATGCCCTGGTTTCTTTTTTATAGGCTTTTTTTGAGTGTGGGCAAGGACACAGGGGCCCCATGATCCCCTATTGCCCGGGGGCCCCATGAGTTGTCAGTCCGCCCCTGGTGCATGGGTAAGAGTTTATGATATCCAGGATTGCTTGCACATGTCTACAGCAGATTTGCCAAGTACAACATATATATATGTACTATGCATTGTTACTGAGAATGCAGAGCTTTTTTTGTCCTCAGGATGGAGGTATTCAGGACTTTTACTTGCCATAGCCTCAATACGGTTATCTAGAGGCTGCTAAGAGTTGTAGGCTGAAAGTAGAGCTGAAGCAGTAAAGCTGAAGTTGAACTAAAGAATCCATGAGCAATCACCAATTGGCAAGAGGATATTAAAGGAAAAACCTGGGAAGACATGGGGAGATAATGAGAGACGTTGCAAGTGGAAGGAGTGTGTGAGAGTTTGTGCCAAGCTGCACTGCTCTTGACCAGACCTAGTCAACAGTATAGCTGGGGAAGCTGAGAAAGCTGAGAATCCAGACACCGTGAGTAAAGGGCTGTCCTGAGAAGACCTATCAGCTGCGGGAGTATGTGAGTCACAGCAGCCACAACTGCATCTTTAGTTAAAAGGGCAGCCCCACTGCAGGATAACTGTTTCTTCTTTGGATTGTTGCAGAAGGACCGGGTGAGAGGGTCGTTGACCCATGCATTGTTGCTACCAGCTACCTTTAGTTCTTGTTGCC